TGGTTACTGCCTCTTTCCCACCAGCCTGCACCACTTGTTCTGTTTATTCCAAAAAGTGGGCAAGAGAGCAGGAAAACTGTCCTTTAATCAAAATATCTGAGCTCACGTGGCCCTGACAGAGTCTCCATGCTGAACTCAGCCATTTCAAAAATACATAGCTAGTGGCACAAGTAAAAAAAAGATGGTTGCAACAGTGTCCCTGACGTGCCAAAGTGGAAAACACAAAGGAGGAGTGTGAGGGACGAACTGAACGCTGGGCGTCCTGTAGGCTGCCTCAGCAGAATTGAGCCCAGATGTGTTTCCACTTGGCTTCTTGAGCAGAGCGTGGGTTTGAGTGTACCTTGGAAACCTGGGCCTTCAGGTCCCGGTTTTCCACCTCGATGTTACGCTTCTCTCCCAGAGCCGTGGTCAGAGACGCATCCTTCGAGTTCAGCAGAGCCTCCAGGTCTTTGAGCCTCTGCAGCGCTCCGGACAACTCGGACTCCTTTTTGGTGTTCCTGCGACAGAGACCCCAACAGAGTCACGTGATTTTAATGCTGATAGACGTGGTGCAGACATTCTCGACTTCAGAACCAAGTGGAAACTGAATTACTACAGTTTCCTTTACAGCCTCTAATGAGTCAGATACGAGCTATTTTTGAATGAGAATCTTTGGGAAACACCTCGGCGCATATGACTCATAGACCACAATGCTCTGCGCCGAGGCCCGTGCGTCTGGTCGCCACAAGCCACAGCCATTGGCGGTGAGCCGAGATGCTGCCATGGCAACCGCGTGGCTTTTGCCAAACACATGAGGCCCATCATCTCAATATTTGTGGAAAAGTAATGGAGGCAGGAGCCGCTGCCACGTATTGTGTGTATAATGATTGCTTTGCTGAAGGAGGAGAAACCGGGGAAAGAGTTAGTCATCAGGCTCTGGATGTGGCGGCACGGGAAGGAGACAGAGTGGAAGTCCAACGTCAAACAGTGAGCAATGAGGAGGGAGTGTTAACGCCAGGGAGTGGCCGCAGCAGCAGCAACGTCTCAGCAGAAGTTAAACAAGCATCGTTTACGAGGAGCTAATGAGTCATTGTCGTTCATTGCGTTTAACTCTGCAATCACACACTTTCACTCGGGGACAAACGGAGAAACGAATGAAGCAAACTGAGAACGATTTGGCTGAAGATGGAAGTTTCAGGAGCTTCGGGGCAGATGTTTCCTTTCATGATCATCAGATTAAAAAAAATATCTGGATCACAGGGTTTATTTCTATTTTTAAATCTGACCAAAAAGAACTTTATAATCTTAAACAAGAGGCGACTAGTTCAACAATTCTTGCTCAGTTTAGTTTAGAGAAGAAAAAATAATCTTACTTTACTTTCTGAGAAAGTTTGGTTGTTTTTCACCTGCGTTACTTTAACGAGTGTGAGACAGACTGACTGTGATTCAGTTACACATCTTTATTCGTCCAATGTTTGCTATAATTAGCAGTAAACCACTTTACATACCAGAGTAATGAGACTGTTTCATTAAAACTCCTTAAAGGGGCCACGTGTTAATTTGTGCTGTTGTTACGGAGCCTTGTCTCGTCACTGTCTCCCTCAAAAAACATGTTCAGCAGAACGTCACACTCATAGATAGCACTGCCTATTTTATAAACCACTTCATTTATTTGCTCATGAACTTATCTTTCCATTCATGAGAGGAATCTGTTGTTATTTTGTGATTTAAAGGTTTTTGTGAATACACTGAACACACAGGGGTGGTGTTAAGGATTTCAAAGCCCCTAAGGTGATGGGGCACCCATTAAACCCCCCCCCCCCCCGATTAGTATCAATGATTAACTATATTAAAAATATTCCTACTTTTTCTCTCTGCAAGCACATGCACAAAACAAACACTGCAGAAGATGTGATCAGAAGTAGAATTGGACCGCAGCAGTTATCCACCTGGCTTTCAGCTCCTTGTAGTCCTCTCTCAGCTTCCCCAGCTCCAGCTGCAGACGGGCTCGCTCTTTGGCCACAGAGTCCAGGGTCTGACGGGCATCGGCCAGCTCGGTTTCGTAGGCGGCCTTCAGGCCCGTCAGCTCCCGGCTGACCTCCGTCTCGGACTCGGTGATGCGCAGACGCAGTCCGGCGTTCTCGGCCTCCAGGTAGCGGACCTTGTCGATGTAGACGGCCAGGCGATCGTTGAGGTTGGACAGGTCCTCCTTCTCCTGGAGCCGGGTGATGCGGTTGGGGGATAGTGGTGTGTTGGCACCTCGCGGAGTGTTTTTGGGTGTCGCCATTGCACCGATCTGTTACTGTTAAAAATCATGATTATCCACCTGCTGAACCTGAATCAGTTTCTTTTCCAAGAACAATAAATACAGGATTCGGACCATTCCAGTACAAATATGCAAATAGTGGACTTTCTCAGAAAGTTGACCTTAAATAAACCCAAACAAACAGTGATTAAAAAACCTGTCATGCATCTGAGAACCTAACACAAGGTTTAATTTTAAATCATGACTTCAACACCGAAGTCGAGGGGTCATCATTCATCGAAACGCATGGGAGGGGTCATCGACTCCACCCAAAAAATCAACGCTAAGTCTTTGCACAAAACACGGCAGTTCTTTTTTTGGCAGGTTTTACCTTTTCAGGGCTGCTGAGAGGATGAGGGAAGTTTGCTCCGAGGATGTTTGTTGGATCGTCTGTTAGATTTTCTTTATCTTCTTGCGATGTGAGTGTCTGTCTTCGTCCTCCAACAGGGTTCGGTCTGTTACTGCGCTGTCTGCAAACTGCCAGTGCCCATGTAGGAAAGAATGAGATGGGAGGAGAGGAGAGAGGTTGGCCTCAAGTTTGGCACTGTGGTTGTTCCTCTCTTGCTCTCTCTCTCTCTCTCTCTCTCTCTCTCTCCCTGACTGTGCAGGCTGAATGAATGAGTCACCGTCCACTCAAAGAAACACATGTAAAACATACAAGGGATCATTTTGGGATAATTTTAAGCTGAGTCCAAATCATTTACGGTATTTGACTCAGACCGCACTGCTCATGTTTCTCTGTGAAGTTAAAATGAACAAGTTGCATAAGAGGTTTTAGACTTTTTTTTTTCGGCCCTGAAACACAGAACTAGAGTCTTAAGACACTTTTTTTTATGTAACATCGCCTCGAGAGATTCTGATTTCTTAAAATATTCTAAAAATATTCAATATCTTAATCCCCATCTGTTCTGATCTAACTCCTTCTGTGGAGATCTTCATGTTTCAGAAGATTTAAAACAGCCTCTGTTCTCTGGAGCACATGATATCGAGCCTGTTACAATGTGAGAGGAATATAATCTTTATATTGTGAGGATCCAGCTGACTTCAGACTCTGCATTTATTTTGCAATCCTATTGATTTTAGTATCTATCTGTTCGCCGCTTAATCTGACACATAACAAATACAAAACTATCAAGAGGCAGCCTCCATTAACAATTTTAACACTATTCAAATGTGGGTACGTTGGACCTCATCTCTGTAAAAGTTCATGTTTGTGACTCAAACTTTTTGATTTGTGAGCCTTTAATATTAGGTTTGTGATCCCTCACCAGCAGTCATGGCCTCAGTGTGAGTATAAGAGTGATTATTCCTCCACAATATTTATTTCATGATGCTTTGCCTTTATTGGAGAGGAGAGAGACAGGGAGTCGGGGTAGAGGGACGAATAATGGCCGTGCATCAGGGTCAAGGCCTTCAGCTCAAAGGTCAACGGGACGCCACAGTTGATTAATGCTTCATTTGAGGGACGTCCAAAGACTCACTGACGTTGTTTCTGTGCAGGATCAAGCTAAAACTACAAAACTTGGACGAGGGCTGAGACCTGGAGCAGGACATTTATGACAAATAAAATAATTTACATTTTCCAGACATTTAGCCAGGGAGCTATAGGGTTAAAGGTTGGTTAGATTTCAGAGCAGGTCTGAAAGCAGCTTTGGTGGAAGGATGGAACATGAGAGAGAGATGTGGTGTTTTTGGACATTTTCACCAATAATTAATGGATATTGATGGAGAAACTAACAAAGCAACCGATATCACTGATTGTGTGAAATGTTGGTGCAGCTTGATTAGTTCATCGACACACTTGTGCTTACGTGTTGTGCTTGTGCAGACTTATATTCTCTTCTCGTGTTCCTGCTTTGCTCGATTCTATATCATGGAAGATTTTCTGGTGGATTTAAAAGTGTGTGAACTGCAGATTCCTGTTGTTTTAATGTGCACAAAGCTCTTTCTGTTCTTTGCAAACTGTCAAACGAGGCGACTCATTCACGATTTCCCTGCTTTGTGTCTGCAGCTGCAGCTCATCCGTCTCAGTGAAGACAAATGAAAACAAATGCAAATGTGTGAGTTTAATAAAAAAAACCAAAAAAAAACATTAAAACTGATTGGAAGGTTAAATCCTCTGCTGACAGATGCATCATCAGCTCTGACTCTGGATCTCGTGGAGCTGTCGTCTGCAGGAAACACAACCCAACCCGCTGTTTTTTTTCTATCTCACCCTTCCACCCTCTGAGTTCTGCATCATGTCTCTGGATGTAAAACCTCTTCTCGCCGTCGAACACGAACATAAAACCGTGAATTACGAGCAGCGTGTGTTCGCGGCGCGTCCGCTCATGGCTGCGCTCAGCTTCGCCCTGTCATGTGGTTCGTGGGAAAACCCGGATTGGATCCCCGCGGTCACCTGGGCAGAAAACATGAAAAAAGTGCCCCTGAGCAGCTGATTGACAGCTCGTGTGCGTGTCGGCGAACGGAGCCGACGACCTGGAACACGTCTATGTTCACATCCAAACGCATTTGCGTGGTTAAATGTCTCAAAAGTGGATGAAAACGCCGCGCGTAAAGACGGTTTCACCCATAAAAAAAAAAAAGGACGCGCAATCCTTTCTCTATCCAGCAAACACTTGCAGCAAAACGAGTCACGTGAAAAGCAGATGACACCGCGGGAACATTTTTTGCAAAAAGTAAAAAAAAAAAAAGCAGCAAATGTGGTAAATTACACGAATTCCGTCGCGTAATAAAACGCAGAAACGAGTCCACTCCGTGTCTTGTTGGGCGCATGTGTGAGCCGCAGCTTTGCGCGGATAAACAGCAGCTGTGCGCCGCGGAGCAACAAAAAGGAAACCAAGGGCGAAAAAGACTTCCAGCGGGTTGTTTATACGGAAATAATCCTCCATCCACACCTGCAGGAGACCCCCTCGGAGAGCTGAAGAGTCCACACCCGGAGCCGGAGCACCACTGCCGGGGAAGCAGCGCGAACACCCGGGTTGTTTTTCTCTTGTTTTCCGCGCAGACGGATCCGTCCTGCTCCACAGCGGCCTCCATTTTAGCTTCGTGCCCGGTCGCCGCCTCACGTGTCCTGGACTGTCTTTCTCACATGACCCGTGTGTTTGTCCCCGTGATCAGCGCTTCCATCTCCGTAAATCAGCGTCGTTGAACCCCGGGCGTCTTCCACCGGCAGCAGAGAGCTTCATGGATATGCTGGAGCAGAGTCTGGATAGCTCGGCGAGGTGAGGCGATGGTGCTTGGCCGCTTCCTGCCCCCTGTGCCATGGCTCCCAGCACGGCCTGAACTCCCTGCAAAACCTCCCTCTCCCCCCCCCCCACGTCCGCAACCATCCAGCTCCCCACACCTGATCACAGCCGTGTTTAGTGCTGCGTCTCCTGGATGAGTCAGTGTTGGAGCATCCAGGAAGATGATTTCTGCAGAAACTGAGGCTTTTGCATCACATATCTGTTGTGCTTGATCCACTGCACACGTTAAACACCGAGGCACAGCTGCACCTTCTGGGTCTCATCAGATTAACATGCACAGTTTCTGCACTTTTACATCCGTTGCAGCTCTTTTAGGATTCAAACGAATCAATTAAAAGCAGCAGGGGCTTGTTTTACTTGTGTTATTGTAATAGATGTAAGTTATTAAGTGTTTAATTGTGCAGCACATCCAAACACACTCATTCGAGTTTTGTCAATCAGATAATTCTTGTTTTCCAGTTTGAAGTTGCAGATAATTTGATCTCTTTCACCCCTGCACGTCAGTTATGCTTTACTTTCTCACCACCAGGGGGCGCTCTTCTCCCACATCTTGTTACAGCTTGCACTACAGACAGTACACACTGATGATGATGACTGAAATGAACTCACTCCTCTTCTCTCTTTGTTTTCAGTCACGACAAACAGGAATCAGAGGAGGTGGTGCAGCTGCAGGAAGGTGAGACGCTCATTTTTCATCTAACGCAGACAAACGTGTCTCTGCAGTCTCTTTAAAATCGATCAAGCTGCACGACATCACACCTTAACCTCAGTCAGACCCGGCATCAACGTCCGTCCACAAACCACAACCTGCAATCATCCTCTCACGTCTGTTTTTTCTTCACTGTTCTGCTTTGGATAAAAAGTTTGAAGCAGCGTGTTGACCTCTGTGTTGCAGGAGAAGTGGTGGGGGCGGAGGAGCACACTGCTGTGACCATCACCGGTGTTCCGCAGGGCGCGTTCGCCGACCACAATGTGCAGTATCAGTTTCGCACAGAGAACAGCGGAGGACACGTGAGTGTGGGGGGAAAACCCGTCATCTGCAAAACAAGAGCAGTTTTATAATTGTCATTTATTCCAAAGCCATTTCTGCACCGAGGCTATTTGATGTGAATTCTAGAGATAACCTCCAGGTGGACACACACACACACACACACACACACGAGCGATAGTAATAATCAGTTTCCTCACTCAGAAGCCGTTTCTCTGCTCTGTCGTCAGGTGACCTATCGGGTGGTTCAGGTGACGGATGATCAGTTAGAGGCCGCCGCTGACGGGAGCGGAGCCGTGAGCGTGGTCTCCGCAGCGGCGTTTGCAGGAGCCCCTCAAGCTGTGGCACAGGTGAGACTGAAGCATGATGGGATACGATGCCATTGTACATGTTCAAATCATTACACAGTTCATTTTCTGCATTTTAAAGAATATAACGGAAACATTTGCATTAGAAGGAAGACTCGTTTTATATTGTGTTGTTTTAGTTCAATCTCTTGACAAGTTTGTTGTCTCTATCTTCTCCAGGCTGTTATCCAGAACCCTTTCAGTAACGGGGGCAGTCCCGGCGGGGAGACGGTGGGAGGAGAGACGCGCTTTGCTTACTTCCCCGCCGCCACCGTCAGCGATGGAACAGCCGTGTCGGTGCAGGCCACCGCCGACCCGTCGATCGCGCAGGCGGGAGGTGAGGGAACCATCATCGTGTGGTGGTGAAGAAGAAGCAGCGACCATCGCTAAAGGATGTCTTTAATTTTCTTGTTATTCTTTTTTTAAATCCAGGACAGTTCTACGTGATGATGAGCCCCCCCGAGGTGCTGCAGACGGCGTCCCCTCGCACCATCGCACCGCGCGCACACACCTACACTGCGTGAGTATAACGCAGCACCCCCCACCCCCCGCACATTCCTGGAGATTCAACATCAGCATAACTCTCACCCTCGTGTTTGGTTTACCTCACATCTTCTCACCCCTGTAACTTCACAGTGGATTGGATGTTCTTCTTCTTCTTCTTCTTCTTCTTCCTCCTCTTCTTCTTCCCCCTGTTTGGATCGATCTGTCATTATGTGTAAAAATGATCATACAACAACAACAACAAAAAAAAAACACATCAATCAATATCCATCATTTAAAACATCCAACATCTGAAACCCACACTCTGTCCCACTTACCTGCCGTCCCCAGAGACCTTGATGAAAGCGAGATGTTGCAGCATGGCAGTTCAAACTGGTGAGACGAACTTTCACATACACCCCCACCCTGCCCCCATCATGTGTTGTAGAGATAGGATCTCTAATCAATCGTTAGAATCCGTGTATGGTTGAATGTTACGTGTTGATTGGTTTAGTTTACACGCAGGTTCAGGTCAGTGTTATTTCCTTTTTTTAAAACAAAATCTCATAAACCTGTGTTTTAGTAAAGATCAAAACTAGATAACAGCAAAAAAATCTAGTTCAGTTGGTTGATATGGAAAAAATCTGCTGGTTTTGTTCTTGTCACATTATCAGGGTGGTTTTGTTGTGTCTTTACAGGAAGGTTGAGGGTCCACGGGCGCCCAGAGATGAGAGGAGAAGAGCACAGCACAATGAAGGTTGGTGCTCTCTGCTGTGGAGGCTGTTAACATATTCTGTCTTTGCTGCAAGTCGTCCCCCCTCACACGCCCAAATTGTTTCCCTCCTGGCCCGTATCACATATTTCTACATTCTGTGATAATCTCTTTACCGTTATCTTGATCACAAACCAACAAAAAGAACATTCGGGCGTGAAAAGTCTCTTCATTCCTTCTTTGCAGTGGAGAGAAGAAGAAGAGACAAGATTAACAACTGGATTGTTACTCTGTCGAAAATCATCCCTGACTGCAGCGTGGACAGCAGAAGTGGAGCGGTGAGTTCCGCACACACACACAGCGGCTCCCTCGGGTTTGATGACAAGATTTCTGACTGTTCTTCTGTTGTGTTTGTCAGAGTAAAGGAAGCATCCTGTACAAAGCCTGCGACTACATCCGGGAGCTGCGTCAGAGTAACCAGCAGCTGCAGGAGAGCTGCAAAGAGGTGGAGCGAGTCAAGATGGACAACGAGCTACTTAGACAACAGGTTCGACTTATTTTGACTAATAACCAAGTCCTGGGATTTATAATAAAACATTTTCTTTAATTATCACGTGTGGCATCAATAAATTCATAGATAAACACTGTTAATTCATCATTTTTAAAACTGTCCAGGGATAAGAGTGAGTTGAAATGAAACATGTCTGATTGTCTGTTTTTCCAGATCGAGGAGCTAAAGAACGATAACGCACTTCTTCGGGCACAGCTGCAGCAGCACGGCATAGAAATGAACGGAGATTCGACACCGCAGTGATTGTGGATCGGACACTTGCACTCGCATCCTCCTCGCCCACCTGAACAATTCCAGGAGAGGAACTACGATGAAAGACAATTTCCATCTGACTCTGGACCAGATAAAAACCACGCACGGGACTCGAGAAGCCCTCTGAAGGACTGCAAACTGAAAACGCCTCTTCCACCTCCGGCAGCTGAACGGCTGCGCGCTCTGAAATCTGTCGACTGTGTAGCTCAAACCGAACCTTTCGTCCTCCGCTGCGAGGAACGCGACCTCTGCACACCACCACCTCCACCACGCTTGCACCAAACTGTCTTTTTACTTTAAATTATAAAAAAAAAAAAAACTGCCACAGAAAATTTACTTTAACTGATTTTCACCCTTTTTTTTTTTATTATCGTTCCACAAACTCCTTTGTTTTTCCCTTTTAGTTGATGTTTGCTACTAAAAGTGAAATAGCTTCCGTTTACTTTTAATTTATCACTCTGTAAGGAAAATGTACACAGAAAGGAAAAGTGTTGGTTTCTGCATTTACTCTTTCCCAATAATTAACCTGCAAGTCAGATGTTGATCGTGCTCATCACTATCACTGAGGATATCTTTACTGTCACTGGAACGTGTGTGTGTGTGTGTGTGTATATATATTTGATCTGCGTGCAGTTTTCTGCCTCTTGACACTGACACTCCGAGCAGCAGGCAGAGCTCACAAACTTCATAAACGTAGCCCGATGTCGGTAAATTCAAAAACTATAAGACTTTCCTGACAGGCAAAGTGTGCGAAGCTTTCCTGTCACAGGCCTGGTGGTTCTTATTTTTACTCCAACGCCTTAATAGGAGCCTGTTGGAGAATCTAGGTGTTAACATAGCTCAGGTAATCGGGATAGTGCACTGGCAAGTGGTTCCCAGACTCAATGAAGTCTTCACATATGGAGAGTTTGGGTCTCTTGGGTCCCTCGTTAGGTGCAATGTACAGAAAAATGAGAAAATGCTTTTCAACGTGTGAATCCTTTTTAATGGGCATTAAAATACAGTTTGTTTGTGTATCTGCTTGTAGCTCATTGGTGTAAAGTACTGAAATAAGAGGGTTCAGTCACGTGAGGCCTCTCGACCTCCGTTCGCTGCGTTTTCGCGGCGTTTAGTTTTCTACAATATTTACAAAACCATCGCCGCTGACAGAAGAGCGTCGAACAGCCACGGGCAGGAATGTGCAAAGGAAGTTTGGATGTGAAACTTGTTACTAACCAGCTTTTGTCTACACTGAGTCTCCACAGCATGGAAATATAACCACTGGCATGACTAACTCTGGTATCACAATAAAACACAAGCGTGAGCGTTGTTGGTTACAGACGGTGTCCGGTGTTTTCAGGTTCCATCGGAGCAGCGAGAAAGACGCCTCGGAGGTCGAATCACTTTTTCAATGTCAAAGTTAGAACGCAGTATGATTTTTACATTATTACATTTTCAACCAAAGCCACTTACATTTCAACCAACTGCATAAAACTGTCCCCCGGTGGTAAAGGATGGAAATTATTGTTTTGTGTGTGTTATTTATTTACATCATTTAGATTTTTTTTATTTAGTTCTCGCTTAAGAAAGCATAATACTATTTAAAATTTAAGATGACAGAATATTACTGCCCCCTGGTGGTCGATGATGACACAGAAAGAGCCGCATCAACAAACGTTGCCATGACAAATTAATTATTGAAGCCGGACCTTGTGTCTTGTTGCCTGGAGACGACAGGGGAACTTGTTGCTATAGGAGATAAACCAGCACGCGCCGGCTGTCTGAACATTAGAGAAACTCTGGTGAGTCAAACTTTAACTTGAAGGTTTAGATTTGAACAAGTTTAACAAACTGCAGCGACGAGTGAGAGAAGTTCCAGGTTCTGGGTGAAAAAGATCAGATCCGCCATTTTATGACAACAGTGTTTGTGTGGGTGAGCTGGTGAAGACTTTGTGGTTTCAAACTGTAAATTCACTCTTTGAATTAAAATGTTGATGGAAACAGATTCATGTTGATCTGTCACCTGATCCATATCCTGATATATATACTTATACATGAACACTCACCTCTGCCTTACTATAAAATGTGCAAAATCTCAAAACGTTGCAATAATTAAAAATATGCAGTGTTTTTGCAACAAGCTGATTTCATATGGATTTGGAAGCTCAGTTGTTAATGATGATTGAAAGTGTGATATTCGTTAAAAGCAGAAGTTTTAACATTCAAGACAAACCAGTGGGAAATCTTTGGCAAAAGAAAAGTGGTGTAGCTGTAATGAACACGAAGCAATAGAGATTGACAGTAACGACTGTAATAAGAATAAATAAGAATACTTTGAGTATGCAGGAGTAGACTAAGCCTCTATAATATATTGAGATGTGTGCATGTCGTTGCTGCAGTCCAGGGATGTCTGCACTTCCTGCAAAGCCCGGCCTTCGCCTCAGTGTGTCAGAGTGGCTCAGCAGCAACCAGCAGCTGTCGGCCACAGCTGGACACGAGAGACATGTTTCCAACGGGGTCCGACAAGAGGGGAGGTCCCTCCGCAATGAGACCAACTGCACGGTGGGTGTTCAAACGGCACGTCAGATCCTCCATCACATGTACACACCAGGTACACATCTTATTTTCTCTGCAGACCGCCTGGGATGAGAGTGATACCTCTCGTAAGCTGAGTGACCGAGTTTGGGACGTGGCTCGATGGAAGGAAGCTTTGCAAACCTGTGCACGGAAAGTGGATGAAGAGATGGAGGCTCTGACCCTGGTGAGTGTTCGAAAAACTCAAAAACATGTTTATACAAGTATACAAATGCACTGGACTCACAGTGACGTCGCCTCGGCCTTGTTGTGTTGGTACCAGTGTAAAGAGCAGACGGAGCAGGCCTTGGCTGCGACCGCTCTTCCCTTTGAGGTCAGTACCGAGTGTCTGACGCTGAGGGAGGGACGACGACGCTCCGAGCTGGTCACTGACCCTGTGGACGAGCAGCTGAAGACAGAAGTGCAGCTGATCGGTAGAGTGCAGCAGGTTCTGCAGCAGCACGTCGACAAGGCCTTCGAACAGCTGTGGTGAGCGTGGTGTCGAGCACGTATTTCACAAAGACCACTTTCTGTTTTGGTTTTTCTCTCTGACCACCTCTGTTCTCATTCGCAGCGTTTTGCAGGAGGCTCGACATCAGCTGACCTCTGACCTCCAGAACAAGATGGACGCTCTGGATATAGACATGTCCTGTTTGTCACTTACAATAAAGTCCCCTGAGATCTCCCTGAAGACCAACCCCACTCGCATTCCATCAGGGTAATTAAGGGGTTTCTCAAAAGCAGAATTTTATTAATTTCAAGGGTTTATTCAGAGGCGCTGGTTTAAATATGTCTTATTATCTAAAAGGTAGAAATGTGTTGTTGTTGTAGCTCCTCCACTCCTCAGGAGTGGGTCCAGTTCAGCCGGTATAACGTCGCTCGGGCTCAGGAGGCCATGCAGGTGTCCCATCACATGAGGGAGGACATGAGTCTCACCAGAGCTCAGGTAGGTGTGAGTGAACTACATGTGATCATGGAATAATAATGAAAACTTTATTTGTCTTCTTCTGTTTTTCAGCTGCAGAACGATTTGGCGTTTCAGTGGCGGGCGACAGAGTTCGCTCTTCGTAAACGCAATCACGATGAGGAGCAGGCCCGCGACCAGCTGGAGTGGCAAATTAGAAATGTAAGACGTCTAACAGCTTGTAAGGACGGGTATTTATCTTTAACTGTTAAATGGAGATTGTGTTTGTCCACAGACTGAAGATGAAATGACGGAAATGGAAGATGACATCAAGGGACTGGATAAAGATATGCAGGCGAAGACGGCCAATCTGAAACTGGCTCACACCAGACTGGAGAACAGGACCAACCGACCCGGGATGGACCTGTGCAGAGACGAGGTTCCTAATAAATACAGAATATCAGCCTGTGAAGTGTTTTCCTCAAAAGTACAAGAAGATTCCTCTGAAATGATTTTGTGTTTGTTGTTTGTTGACAGGTTCAACACGGTCTTGTTCATGAAGTCCATCAGCTGAAGGCCACAATCACAGCTCTGAAACAAAAGCTGTCAGAGGCGCAGTGAGTCTTTGTTTTTATGGACCTGACGGTTATTTCACGTTTTTCTTCATCTGCTCTTCAGCAAAAACAGGCTTCAAAGATAAATGGTCAAAGATAACTGTGAGCATCAAAAGACAAAATGACAAAGCAACATTCAGTTTTTAGGGATTAGACATAAGAAATCAAACAGAATACTTTACAGGTTGTATTGTACATGTTGATGAATAATTAACTCTTTCATCCCTCACTCAGACAGTCTCTGCAGAAGATGAAGCTCCATCACGCCCGCATGCTGGAGGATCTCTCCAGGAAACAGGAAGCTCTGTCTCTGGAACAACGAAGCATGAACACCCGCTCACACCTGACGGCGGCCTCCTGCTCCGGTAAATCCCCGGTGCTGCTGGTTCCGCTCACCAACTCCAGTGGGAGGAGCAACCTGCAGCTGCTGGCTCAGTGAGAAGATGGCGTCCATGTTTCTGAAGGGAGGAGATCTATTTAGAAAATAACAAATTTCTAGCTTTGACTTCACGTTTTAACACTTAGCACATAACGGAGAGCACTGCAACACTTAAAGCAACACTGTGTAACTTTTACTAAACAACAGCGCCCTCTGCAGCCACACAAGGGGATTCATTCTTTTGGGCTCTATAACCAACTGAATGGTGAATATTCTTCATATTGAAAATGTTTCTGTCTGAAAGATAAACACTGGGTTTTAATTAAATTTAATTTAGACGTAGAATTAATAACAAAACAACAACAAAAGACCTTGTTTGATGTCGTTGTGAAGCAGCGGAGGAAAATCCTCCTGATGTGACTCAGGCACAACACGGATACACGATATTCACGGATGAGGGGATGTAGTAAAGTTTTATTCACATGGTAATAAATAATCGGGATCCATTACCAGTGACCAAAACAAACAGCCGAGGGAAAAAACTGGCGACTGAATAATGTGTGTTTTTCCTTCATCATGCATCGTTTGCCCTGGAAGTTTTAGCGGAGACGTCAAATTACCTTGAATAAACTGGGGATTTCTATTACTAAATGAAATTTAAAATGAATTATCATCCACCCAGTCTGTGCTAAGGTAAAAAAGCTCTTTCCTTTATCTTATTATTTTAATAAGACCTGTCGTCGTCTTTCAAAAACGTTCCTCTGACCTGTTTTAACCTGTTTGTGTGTAATTGACTTCTAGTAGTGACCAATTATGTTTTATGCATGTTTGCTTAACTTTTATAAGAAATTACAAATATTCAGACCTCGATGAAACATTAACTCGTGGAGATATTTCCGGCATCTGAAAAGTACTTAACTGAAGCGACCCAAGTTCTCGTCTGGTCGTCTCTACTTTAATCGACCATTAACTGGAATGGCTTTGTTTTGCTTCGTCGTGTTGTTTGATGAACTGAATGAAGACGGCGATAATGATGTGAAGTTTTACTCATGCAGTGAACGAGGTTTAGATAAAAAATCTGGTAAACAGGCACTAAGCAGGGTCTGTAAGTCAATAAACCATCGTAACTCTCACGTGCCTCAGTAGTAACGACTTCAAATGGATGTTTGTGTCGGTCGCTGCACTTTATGAGGATTTAAAGTAATAGAGGTCTGTTTTTAAAAGTTTCTGATTATCAGTTGTCACCACACCTTGAAATTGATAATTGAGACAATCATTATACTGTTCGTAAAGATGGACGACGTTGCGACTGAAATACTTTGGCTTCACTTTTGGGAGCTGTCAGGTCGTCCATCTTCATTTACAGTCAATGAGGAGGGGAATTGTTGTTTTTGAGTTGTTAAAAAACCCAGTAAGTCATTACATTGAGTGACATTAAGTAACTCGCTAAAATTGTCTCAATTTGATGAATTGCTATTTTGAAATGTATCATCTCATCAAATTTTTAATCGTATGATTTTGATTTATTGATTCAACTTTTTGATCTTTCACTGGAAAAAAAAAATTCACTACTAATGAACATAAAACTACAGTTGTTATTTTGGCATCTTCACCAGAACTAATAAAACCATCTTCCTGAGAAAAGCCTGTGCTGATGTCACTTTCACTTCAGGTGATAAAAAGGTGTCGTCATTACATCACATTCAGACATCAGATGACTCAAAGTTATTCACATTTGTTTTTGAAAAATCAGATCAAACACAACAATCAAAGAGCGAGCAGCCGTTTGTTTTGGCGAGCCGCAGATCTTTTCTGGGAAAGATGCTTCTCAGTAGCCGTCATTCTGCTCCAATAAAACGTCTCTACAACAACACATTATTTTCTGTTCCATTTTCTTTCACCAAAAAACCTTTTACATGACACACCCACTCTTCTTTCGCACAAACACATTCATTCTCTGCCATAAATTTTGCACCACAAACAAGTCACAAAGCGCGAATCGTCTTCTAATCGCCATTGACCATCAACTTAAGCACATTTATGACTTTACTGCTTGGCACTTCAGTTCATTTAAACAGCCGTGTGCTTCCTGACATGCTGAATTATTCTGAATCATTTCACTTCAGGGTCCAGATGCTACCTGTCTGCTGCTCTCCACTGAGAGGGCAATTAAGGCAGCCTGGTGCCTGTTAAAATGCCCCCTCCGTCTGCATGAGTGGCTGCATCTTCTTATCTGCATCTCTGTCACGATGTCATGTGCACCTCGCCCTCGCCGAGCCCACATGCATCAGCACCATTGAGGCCACCGCCTCCTTTTTTTTCGTTGCTGTCACCTGTCTCAGAGTTTCTGTTGAATCTGAACATGACGGAGGAAAAACTCGAACTTGGTCGCCATTCATGGAGAATTTGACTTTTGAAAGATGGGGTTTATGAATTTGTTTTTCTCTGTTGAGACTTTGTGGGAGTGCAACCTTTTCTCCGGACTTCCTGTACCTGTCGGTTTCAGTGCCCCAAACTGAAGAAATGCAGGTGGCCTTCAAGGACTGCGTCGCTCTCTTCGTCCACACCTTCACCTTCCTGCTGGGCCTTCCCGCCAACCTGCTGGTCCTCTTCGTGTATGTGCGCAAAGCCCGCAAGCGCGGTGCCACCCCCAACGTGGTCTATGCCCTCAATCTGTGCCTGGCCAACCTGGTGCTCGTGGCCTGGCTGCCCGTCAAGGCCATGGAGACCTTGCTGCAGGGCTGGAGGCTGCCACCGCTTGTCTGCCCCGTGTACAACTTCTTCCTCTTCTCCTCGCTGTATGGCAGCTGCCTTTTCATCACCGCTGTGACAGTGGGCCGCTACCTCAGCATCGCATTCCCGATTATCTACAAGAGATACCGCCATGCTCGAATCTCTTGCATCATCAGCGTTGCCCTGTGGGTGTTGGTGCTGCTCCACCTCAGCGGTGGCCTAGTGGCTGAAGGGGGCGCTCACTTTGTCTCTGTCACGGATGACACCTCAGCTTGCTTTGAAAATTTCAACGCCTCGCAGCTGGCCGTTCTGCTGCCTCTGCGTCTGGAGATGGCCATTTTGCTGTTTCTCTTGCCCCTGGTAGTGACGTCGTTCTGTACACTGCGCTGCGTTACTCTTGTGTGGCGCTCCAATTTGCCTCTTATGGGGAAGAGGAGAGTCCTGACTGTTGCGCTCTCCACCCTCACCGTGTTCGTGGTGTGCTACGCGCCCTACAACACCTCACACATTGTGGGGTTTGCGCTGAGAGAAAATGTGGAGTGGCGGGCGTATGCTATGCTGACAAGCTCCTGTAACGTTTTCCTGGAACCTGCAGTCATGCTGATGCTGTCGCCGGCAGTGTCCAGGGGCATCATGGGAAGAATCTGTGGTCGGCAAAGTCACTTCAGCCGAATTGATGGAGGTCGGCATCAGTGTATTAATACCAATGGTGCTGAAAAGGTCAAGCCAGCACCGACGCTCTCTGAGAGGAGCCAGGCAGGGGCGGAGGTGACTAAAGTCAGTCAGGAGTGAGGTCACAGTGGAACCTCGGGAAATAAGAGGAGACATTCATTGACTGATTGAAGATACTTCATGTGCCTGTGCAACATCTAGAAAGTGTAGCATCGTTACTGCTGCCTGACTCCATCCAGCACCTCCTCCACATGAATGGACCCACAAACAATCCAGATAATATTAATGCAGTTTTGCAAGTTTCAAAAAATGTGGAGTGTTCATGTTCCAGAGTTGCGTCTGTGGTTTTGCTGATGATAAAAAGTAAACCATTGTCCTGTGAGTGTTTTATCCAATGGGAATGGTCGTATTGTCAACTTATAAGAAAAGGAGAAATATTATATTATCATCGTTTTACCGGCATGTAACTGAAACTCTCTCACTCAAACAGCTCTTAACCATGACTATTCACCTGGTGACAAATGTCTCCATCTGGTGTCAGCTACTGTAACAAAGGAATCACTTCCACGCTTCCATGTTCTCAGTAAAAGACGATGACATTGGACAAACAGGATGTTTCTCACTGAGATGATGAATATGGCTTCAGGTATGAAGTGAAAGTAAACACAAGATCTGCAGTAAATTCTAAACTCATATCAGCCCAAGAAAAATACATGATTTTTAAATTGAGATCTCACAATGTTCAAGAAAGTAAAAAAAATAAATCATGCATCCGGCCCCTGATGTGGTTCAGGGTTGTGTGGCACGTTTCTAAGAATTATTTCGATTATAAATAAAATGAGGTTTGATTCCACTTCTAGTGGCTATTTGTGGATTAATGATTATTGCTCATTTTTTTGAGAAGGTTCATCTCTCATCATTCAGTTTTCGTCACAGTTTACAGTCTTGACTCAAGAGGATCAATTATCGAATATGTCAATCATATGCAAATCAATGTGAGGCTGCACATCTATGAACCTCAGATTTTTCATTCCCACAGATGTGAAGAACTTTATGAGACATTTTCTGTTGTTTTGTTAGTACATGAACCTGCAGCCTCACTGGAGCATCATGAATTAACACCATTAACAACATCTGTATGAACCTCTGGGGAACATTTAGCTTCATCACTGCTACAGCAGACAGATAAAGGTCAGAGGTGAAATTCTGCAAAACTGATCTCATAAACTCTGATAATACCTGAAAGGAAGTAAAGCTATTGTTTAGAATAGTCCATTATATACAAATTATCCAATAACTGTGAATTAATATGTGTATTTGGATGCAGATTCACGAGCAGGA